CGGGGTTGGTGCCCTATTTAAGGGCACTAACTCCTAGGGTTGCCTCATTTAGCAGCTTCCACCCTCAAGAAACTACCTCATCCAAACCCTAGCCTCATTGTAGGAGATCTTAGCTTGTATGGTCACTTTTGGTGTTTTGAAGGAGAAGGAATCATTATTGGTGGATTTATCTAGCTTGTAAATCTCATCATCATCTTTTTGTTTACTTTTTGGACCATTGTAAGTATCAAAGACTCAAGCTTTATATTATAAGCATGTTAGATCTAGATCGCTCATTTTTCTCTATGTTGGGTTGGGTAGAATGCATGAAGTCCATAAAGTTAGCAACTTTATGGATTGTTGAGGTCCCTTAATGGACATATGTTCCAGATATGAAGTTTGTTGCTATTTTAGGCTCCATGCATGTGATATTTTGTGGTATTTCTTCATTTTTGAACTAAGTTTGAGTGTTCGACTTGCATTGGACATGCAATACTGAAAATCACTGATCTTTGTGAGGTATTAGGCCTTAGGAAGGGTTCTGGAAAGTTTGAAGGAATGGCTTAACAAGTTAAGAGCTAAATTTGTTAAGCTGTTGGAACCCAGTTCCCACAACGTGCCGTTTAGGTGGCCACGACGTGGCCACTGGGGAGGGTGCCCGATTGTTTTGTCTTGGAGTGCCCACGACGTGGCCTATGGGTGGCCACGACGTGGAGACCTATCGAAGTTGAATTTGACCGTTGACTTTTTGATCATAACTGACTTTTGGTCAATTTAGAGGTTTTAGGGTGTAGACTTAGTGGGTACTTCTTTATTGTTGTTAGGTGTTTTGTAGTATCAGTCTTTACCGTGTGAGAACTGTTGTGTTTTAGTTGCTACCTGCGAGGTGAGTCTTCTCACTATACAATAAGACAATAGGTGCCAATTGTGCATACTGTCTTTGTGACTCTTGCTATTATGCGTGTATGTTGTATGCATGGAGCCGATCTGGGCTCGGAGTCATTACAGACTCGAGTTTGATACAGACGCGATGGAGCCGATCTGGGCTCGGAGTCAACATGGACTTGGGGTTGATACAGACCCAGGGTTGTTATGGACCCGATACAACTACGTGTTGTTATATATGTTGTATTTTGTGGGAACTCACTAAGCTTCATGCTTATAGTTGTTGATTTACCGTGTTTCAGGTACTTAAGATGATCGCGGGAAGGCGAAGGCTTGATTGTACACATCCATTTATAGTTTCTGTGATTCCGCATGTTTTAATACTCTGATATTTTGGGATGATTGTTTTTGATACTTATGTTTTGTTTGACTTGGGTTTTGTGGAAACAATGATTTTACCTTATTAAAAATGAAAAGTTTATTTTGAAAAATAGAATATTACATAAATTTCTTCAGAATCACCTTCCATGAGTCAACATGATTCATATTATCACTCATCGGGACACCAAGATAAATGAAGGGTAAATGCAAAGCATTACACTCAATAACACCGACAAGCTTCTCCACTTGACTGAAGCTACAAATTAACTTACTTTTAATTAAGTTAGTTTTTAGCCTACAAGCTAAGCACGTTTGATTTAAGAAAATACACCCAGAATTCTCTAACTCCCAATCAGATAACAAAATAACATCATTATCATAGTGTTGGATTAAGGTGTCTAAGGCCTTAACTAAATTGATATAATCTTAGTGAATAAAAGTAAAATCCTTTTTGGGGTGCCCTCAATAATTAGAAATAAATAGAAATGACTTTAAGAGAGATATAAAATGATTTGTTAATTTATTATATGATTAATAAATTAATTAGAAATAGTTGGAATTAATTAATTATTGATCTGAAATTAATTTAGGATTAATTGGAATTAATTAAAGGTGCAATAGCTGAATTGTAATTGTTCAATAGTTGAACAAAAGAAGCAATTCTAGAACCCTCCATGGTATGGATGGTTTTATGGAGGGTTTTAGGGTTTTTGGAAGCCTCATATAGCTGATAAAGATAACTGTCTTGAATAGATAAAAGATTAAAATGTGAATATTTTATTATTCAAACTAGGGTTTATCTTGGAGATCCCCTAGCTATAAATAAAGCCTTTTGGGCTCAAAATCCCGTGGTTAATCAATCCAAGAAGGAGAAATCCGAATTTCTCATCTTCCATTCTCTCTCCTCTTAATTTCTAGTGTTATAGGGTTTTGGGTGTGAACCATTACAGACATCCACATTATTGGTGCTTGCTTTCCAAAGGAGATTCAACGAGAGTTGTTTGCATTATTCGATTTTTGCAAAAGGTGTGTATTCTAACCTGTATCATTCGATTTACATAGGTTAGAAGTTTGTTTCATAAGTATGTTGCTATAACTTGAGAAAATGCCATAGACTTCGAGGTTGCATGTATGCTAGTATGATTATGATATCGTTGTGTAATTAATCTTGTTTGAAACCTAGAAACCCATCACATAGAACAAGTTACTCCAAGTTAGAGTTTCCCATTTTTACCCCTAAAAAACCATTAACTCTGTTAGCTTCTTGGAGAGCTATATGAAGACCTTCCACTACTATAATGAAAAAAGGAGAAAGTATGTCACCTTGTTAGAGTCCAAGCTCAATGACAAACTCATCAATAGGAGCCATATTGACTAGAATTAAAGTTGTAGATTTAAGGGCAACTTTGATCCAATCACACCAAATCATACCAAACTTTGTCTTCTCCATCACCTAAATCAAGTAACCACACTAATTAATTATAGGACTTCTCGAATTTAACATCAAAGGACCATCAAGAACTTGACGACCTTTAATGAAAGTTAATTTAACATCAAAGGACCATCAATAATTTGACGACCTTTAATGGAAGGTAATTATTTAACACCAATCAAACTTCCAATAACTTTAGCTAAACGATTAGCTAAAAGTTTTCTATTTATGTTGTATTGGAAACTAATCAAGCCGATTGGACAGTAATCATGAATAAACTTTGGGTCTCCTGTTACCTATTTAACATGTTTTAAATTGGCATGACTTCTCATTAACGTATATAACATCATATGTACTTTCTAAAATAACATCTAATGTTCTGAAATGACTTCTTATTTACTAATATGGTATGCATATAACCTAATAACCTAACAAATGGGAAGTCACTTTATAAACCAAGATGTTATTTCATAGAGTACATATAATGTCATGTAGGTAAATAAGAAGTCATGTTAGTTTTACCACACGATAACCACGAAATATGGGGTCATAGTGAAAATTTCTTTGAAAAACAGGTGTTTTTTATTTAGCAAAATAAAATATAGTGGTTAAACCACAAAAAATAATCAAAATATAATGGTTTTGATGTATAGTTCCCATTATCCTTGGGTGGCATTGGCAGGTTTGTTGTGATCAGTAGGACCATGTAATCTGCTTCAAATATTTGTTGTTGCTGTTTTTGCTGTGGGTGTTTGTTGTTTTTGCTGTTGTTGATTGTTGTTGTTGTTGTTAATATTGTTGTTTTGTGCTGTTGTTGCTGATTTGTGTTGTTAATATTGTTGTTTTTGCTGTTAATATTGTTGTTTTTGTTGTTTTATTGTTGTTTTTGTGTTAATTAAAAGTGGGAAATGTTTTTTAGTAGCTTATTTTTTAAAAGATTAATTTTTTGTAAATGTTTTGGTTTTATATCTTGTACTTATATTGTTTGTATAGGTTAATTTACATAATTTACATAGCATGTATAAAATAACAAGTTTTAATACTCAAGACGTCGGGTTCCCGGAACCGGAACCGGTTCCGGCAGTTCCGGGAGCGGTTCTAGTTTTCTAGGAACCTGTGTAGGCGATTCCGGTTCTAATTCCAAAAACTTAAGAACCGCCGGTTCCGGGAGCGGTTCCGGTTCCGGCTAAAATAGGCGGGTACCCGATTATGCTCATCCCTAATCATGAGGGTTATTCCAAACATATTTTGGGCCCAGTGAGAAAAAAAATGGACCCTTAAAATACACAAATATCAAGTTTTTTATAATAACTCAATAATTGAAAAAAAAAAATTACTTAGTACTATCTTTTAAATATGACCATTTCCATAAAAAAAATTAGGCCCCTTTAAAAGATGAGTCATGAACGGTCGCTCCTATCGCCTACCCTCTGGGACAGATTATAGGCCAAATTTTTTATTAAACATTGTTATGATGTTTTTGTTTCACTTTCCGACAAGCTAGTTTTCCTTGGTTTCACTTTTCGACGAACGTAACAAACACGTTTTTTTTTTTATTTTTTATAAAATAAGAAGACCCACATTCAAAAATGATTTTACTATTTTTTTTATGAATATTTTTAAAAGTACTATATAAAGCTATGAGGCATGGAGAAAAATATCCTATACGGCATGCCGTGGAGAAGAGGAACACCTCCCCCTCCCTATACGGTTATCCCACACTTGTCTTCCATTTGCAGGAGGAACCAAATGTATGGTAATTCTATTTCAACTATATCTACGGGTGAAATATGAATCCATTTCAATTGAATAAATAGATGGGTTAAAGTGAATCTATTTCACACACCTCTCTAATCAATATGTAAGTCCATTTTAATTGACTTCATGGGTCAAGATGAATCCAAAGGAAAATAACATGATGCTTATATGGCAGAAAAAAAGTGTAGAAAGTATGGTAATAGTCTTATTGTAGATATATATTTTTAAAATGCCACACTTAACAGAACTCCCTAAATTGGGCACAACGCGAAGGAGTCGACCCTGATTCAACAAAAAAGGACACGACATGTTTAGTTGCGGCTGAAATTGGTTTGACTTTTCAACGCCATCCATGGCATACAAAACTACAAAAAAGTGAAATTCATCCCACCAATCACAACCTCGACTCTCCTTCCTACACTCATCTTCCTCTTGCTTCCGTGTCCTCTCATCCGCCACTCCTTGCGCTACTACTTCCCACCCTCTATCATGGCTGCCATCGCTTCCCTCTGATGCTCAGGGTTAGGGTTTAATTCAATAACCCATAAAACATTTCCTCAGTAATATGGCGGCATCGTGTTTTTCTGCATCAACTTCACCTGAACTTGGGTTTCTCCGTCCAGACACTTGCGTTAACAAACTTCGTTTCTCAATTTCTAGACGTAATGCTCTCCGTAAATTCAATCGTTCCTCATCCACAGTTGCTATTAGAGGTCGAATTCGAGCGGTTGGGAGGGATGAAGTCGTTGTAGTTGAGAAGGAAGATGGGAAGATCGATCTGGGTGGTAATGGGAGTTATAAATATGTTAATGGGAAGAATTCGAACGGGAGCGTTGTTGGTGAAAATGGGAGTCTCATGAAGTATGTTAATGGTAATGGGAATGGTAGTGCTAATGGAGGCGTTGCGATGAAAATTGGGGAAAAGGTTGGGGAGAAGAGGGATGAGAAGAAGAAGACAATTGAGGAGATCGGTCAAGAAGATGCTTGGTTTAGGAAGAAAAATGGAGCTGGCAAAGTTGAGGTATATGTTTGAACAATTTCTTGTTTTAATTCTGTATCATTCTGATACAAGCTTCATTTGTGTAGGTATCTGTTGCTCCTGGTGGACGATGGAATAGATTCAAAACTTATTCAACCATTCAAAGGACTTGTGAAATATGGGGTTTTGTTCTGACATTTGTCTTCAAAGCCTGGTTCAACAATCAGAAATTTGCATATCGAGGTTGGTCTATCAGTTATCATTTATCATCACCATTGTTGTTGTTATTAGTTTTTGGTTTAACTCTTTGATTGCTACAGGGGGGATGACTGAGCAGAAGAAAGCTCAAAGGAGAAAAACTCTAGCCAAGTGGTTGAAGGAGAGTATTTTGAGATTAGGGCCTACATTCATCAAAATTGGACAACAGTTCTCAACAAGAGTAGACATTCTTGCCCAAGAATATGTTGATCAGTTATCAGAACTTCAGGTATATAATATATCATAAACACATTAATTACCTTTTGACTTTTCACAAATGAGCTAACTCTGAATCTTTATACAGGATCAAGTTCCTCCTTTTCCATCAGAGACTGCTGTTTCCATCATTGAAGAAGAGCTTGGATCCCCTGTTAATGAAGTGTTTGATTACTTTGATTTTGAACCAATTGCTGCTGCTAGTCTTGGTAATACAAGTTTGTTCATATTTCAATAAAAAAGTTTATGTTGGTCAAATGGTCAACCATTCATTATTTTCAAATTCAGGTCAAGTACATCGAGCAAGATTGAAGGGTCAAGAATTGGTTGTTAAAGTACAAAGACCAGGTCTCAAGGATCTTTTTGATATTGATCTTAAAAATCTGAGGGTTAGTGTAAAGACTTCTCATTAGTTGAATCTTTGTTATAAAACCTTTCTACAAATGAGTGGATGTATATAATTAACACTTTGTTGCAATATCTTTTGTCATTTTATTTCTCAGGTAATAGCAGAAAATCTTCAAAAACTTGATCCTAAATCTGATGGAGCAAAAAGGGATTGGGTTGCTATCTATGATGAGTGTGCTAATGTGTTATACCAGGTAACTCTTTTCTACTACAAAACTTGGATTTTCAAATCATAAGATGTGAAACTCATACTCTTTTAGAATATTAATCCACTCCTTTTAGGTTTTTAAAACCAAGGTCTAAGATGCATGTAAGAATTTCTCATGAGTTACATTTGTATTTTTTTAATTTTTTCAGGAGATTGATTATACAAAGGAGGCTGCAAACGCCGAGTTGTTTGCAAGTAATTTCAAAGATCTTGATTATGTAAAAGTCCCAAGCATATATTGGGAATACACCACTCCACAGGTTAATATTTCAGTAAAAATATAAACTGATCTTGGATTTTATAATTTTATCAAAGTTTTTTCTTATCCCTTTTTGGCTCAATAGTTTGATTCATATGTAGGTGCTTACAATGGAGTATGTCCCAGGAATCAAGATTAACAGAATACAAGCTTTAGATCAATTAGGTGTTGATCGACAAAAGTAAGTCTAGTATTTTCTTTTTCTTTTTTTCAAATTTTCAATTTTCTTTTTCTTTTTTTCCAATAGGCTGAGTAGGTATGCTGTTGAATCCTATTTGGAACAAATTCTCTCTCATGGTTTCTTCCATGCTGACCCTGTGAGTTTCTTGTCTTGTATTTATCCTTTCTGTATATCAAGATCTTTGTTTATTATTTTTTTTTATCTTTATCCATAATAGCATTGTACTTTCATCTTTTTACCCATAATATAAACATACTTTCATTTTTTTACTGATGATAGCAATATGTAGTTCCATAATAGCAATGTACTTACATTTCTTTACACAAAAATAGCAAATACTTACAAATTTACAATAACATGCAAATATATATATATATATATATATATATATATATATATATATATATTGTAGCTAGAGTAAAAGTATGTTACCATTCTTTGCAATTTGCCTAATACAATTCACATGCCAATTATAATAAAAAAAAATTACCTTCTTTTATACAGCATCCTGGTAATATAGCTGTTGATGATGTGAATGGTGGAAGGCTAATATTTTATGACTTTGGAATGATGGGAAGGTAATTATTTTATTATTTCTCAAACAAAAAAGTTATATTTTTCTTGAAATACTGAGTCTTGAGTTGTTTGTTGCAGCATAAGCCCGAATATCAGAGAAGGTTTATTGGAAGTTTTTTATGGAGTTTATGAGAAGGACCCAAATAAAGTTCTTCAAGCAATGGTTCAAATGGGTGTTCTTGTGCCAACTGGCGACATGACAGCTGTCAGAAGAACAGCGCTTTTCTTCCTTAATAGGTTACAATCAAAATTATATACTTTTTTTTTTCTTAAATATAAATAGGGAAATCTCCAGAAAAGTCCTAAAATTTTACCCTAATTTACGAAAAAGTCCCAAACTAAAATTTGTTTACGAAAAAGCATGAATTACCGGTAAAAATGGCGATTTGACCCCGTTTTTCCGGTTTTATTACTTACATGTTTCACTAAAGTCCCATTATTTTACCCCAATTTGCGAATAAGTCCCAAAATAAAATTTAGTGATGATTTAGCCCTTTTCTTAATATAACATACATTTTATCGGTTTCATTTGCTGACATAGACACCTAGTCATTAAATTAGTTGATAAGATGGATACGATGAGTTATATAATGCTACATTTACTGTAAAATTTGATATCCATCTCATCGGCTCATTTATGACTATGTATCTAGGTCCGCAATGAAACCAATAAAATGTGTGTTTCCAGGAAAAAAGGGCAAAAAATGAGTTGATGCCTGATGAGATGGATATATTGTGTTACATAAGATTAGATAGACAATTTGATATTTCTTATAAACGTAAAAAATAACGCAGTTGTTGCTAGTTTATATAATTATTGTAGTCTTCGTTGGATGCATTTTATGTTCCAAAAAAATATATAATACATTAGGATATCAAGTTTTATGCTAAACCTAGCATTATATAACTCAACATATCCATCTCATCATCTCATTTAATGACTAGGCGTCCGAGTCAGCAATGAAACCGGTAAAATGTATGTTACATAGAGAAAATAGCCAAATCGTCACTAAATTTTAGTTTGGGACTTATTCGTAAAATAGGGTAAAATAATGGGGACTTTAATGAAACATGAAAGTAATGAAACCGGTAAACTGGGAAATATGGGTCAAATCACCATTTTTACCGGTAATTCATGTTTTTTCGAAAACAAAATTTAGTTTAGGACTTTTTCATAAATTAGGGTAAAATTTTAGGACTTTTCTGGAGATTTCCCATATAAATATATATATTTTTATGGATGTATGACATGTACACTTTTTACAGTTTTGAAGAACGACTTGTGGCACAAAGAAAAGAGAGAGAATTGGCTACACAAGAACTTGGATTTAAGCAACAATTGAGCAAAGAGGAAAAAATAGAAAAGAAAAAACAGCGTCTTGCTGCAATTGGTATTGATTTTTATTATGCATTTATCAGATTATATAAATTTTAGCAGTTAGTGATATTGTTAATTACTTTTTTCTTTTAAATGTTTAGGGGAGGATCTATTGGCTATTGCAGCAGATCAACCTTTTCGATTTCCTGCCACCTTCACCTTTGTTGTTAGAGCTTTTTCAGGTTTCTTTTTTTTCTTTTTAAAATTTAATATTTATTAATTGATAATTTTTTACTAATCTTACTTTAATTACTTTAATCCTTCAGTTTTAGACGGCATTGGGAAGGGTCTTGACCCTCGTTTTGATATAACTGAAATTGCTAAACCGTGAGTTAATTTTTAATTTTTTTATAAATCTAGACATTCTTACCTAAAGTTCTATAAATAAAGGCTTCTTTTTTTTATAAATATTTTTAGATATGCTCTGGAATTACTAAGGTTTCGTGAAGCTGGTGTTGAAGTGGTCATCAAGGTTTTTACTTTTTAACCATTTGTTGGTATGCTTTTTCCCTAATGTAGATTCAAGAATTAATTTTATATTTTAATTTTATGTTACAGGACTTCAAAAACAGATGGGAGAGACAATCACAAGCTTTTTACAACTTATTTAGACAAGCTGACAGAGTTGAAAAACTCGCTCAAGTTATTGAACGATTGGTAATAATATTAACTTTTCTGAAAAACTTAACTATACTTTTTATTTTTATTATTTTTAATTTAAACCACAATACTTTTTTTAACAGGAGCAAGGTGATTTGAAGTTAAGGGTTCGAGCATTAGAGTCCGAGAGGTCATTTCAACGTGTTGCTGCTGTTCAAAAAACAATCATAAATGTAAGTTTTTATTTATTTATTTATTTTAATATAAAGTATAAACATATCTCCTAATTTTCGAATTTTAATTTTATCTGTGGTTAAATGGGTCAGGCTGTAGCTGCTGGAAGCCTAGTCAACCTAGCAACAATTTTATACATGAATTCAATAAGAGTAAGCATCAAATTTCATTTATACTACAATGATAATACATAAATAAAACTTGTTTAAATTTCTCATTTGATATATAAAATACTTTCAGGGTCCTGCTACAATATCATATATCTTTTGTGCAATTTTTGGATTCCAAGTTCTTTTTGGGCTACTGAAGGTTAAAAAACTCGATCAACGGGAGAAATTGATTACTGGAACAGCTTAAATAAACCGTAAGTAATTTACTTTTTTACCCATTTACTTCATGAATCCATGACAATATGGTAATTGTGTGCAGGGTTAAAAGAGTAAATACATGTTCATGATGACCTAACCTTCAAAGAGAAAGGCTGTGGAGTTTTGTAGACAAATGGTAAGCATTCCCATGTGCTTAAATTTGACCCACCCATATCCATATCCATGTGCTTGAACTTGAACCATATTTCCATTTAGGGTTTTGGGGTGTGTGGTGTGTGATGTTTAAATGTTAGTAACCCTAAATACTGTAGATATATTATATATATCCCCGTAAGAAATGACATTGGTATTATTAGTACTGTAGTCAATTTTCTATGATCGGGGGATGATTTGTTTGGTATTATGTTAAATGTAATATGGTGTAAAAGTGTAATGGTAATGTATTTATGTTAATAAAGGTATTTAATGAAATTTTTTTATTAAATATTTACATTACATTGGTGTTGTGTACATGTTATGGAGCAATATAGGTCCTGGCTCTACCTATTAATTTTTGTGGGGTCACATTGACCAAGGTTGTCAAGATTGAGATCTTGATCTTAGGATCGTAAGATCTTATGGTCATACCAATGAAAACCTTGCCGGATCGCAATATGATCGTTTTGTATGTAAGATCGTAGGATTGGGATCGGGATCCAATCCCATCCTATCAATCCATGAAAATTTCCAAAATTTAAACCGATTTTTATTATATTTAGTATTTACCCATTTATTGGTTGACTCAGCCTACTTACCCAAAGGTCAATCGAGAATAGCCCCATTTTTGTACTGCTTTATGAACCGTAAATGACCAACAACCCTACAAATCTTTTTCTCCTTTTACATTTTACCTATATCGATGGTAGAATTTGAGATTTAACTTCAGATTGTTATTAATTTCTTCCTTCAATAGTTCACTCCCAACAATAAAGGTGAGCTTTTTGCTAGATTCTTTTCCTTAACTTCTCAAGCTCTTTTCATACCTACATACAAAGTTTAATAAATAAATGTTAATTGTAATTATACAATTTGAGTCTACCATATAAATATGACCACATAGAAAATTTAAGAATCAAATAAAAATTTTGTCTATAATACCGTAAATCTGATATTCAAGGAAATAAGATCATTCTTAATTTAGATTCTAACTTCTTAGCCTATTTTTGATATAGTTCATGTATTAATATTTAGAGAAACTGGTAGGCAAGGATGTTGATATTAAGTGTTGTATATTGTTGTTACCGGTAAAAAAACTAAGTTTTATTTTAAACTTATAAGTTTTTTTTCATGGTAAGTATATATGTTGCTATAATTTGTAAAAAAACCCACATAGTTATTGCAGTTTGTAGAGATTGTTGAGTATCGAGTCCAAGTTAATAGGTTGCACATTTAATATGAAAAGTTATACATTGTTGTTTTGTCTGACTTAATCTAGACTAAATGATGTAATATGTTAAGCCAAAAAAACCTTATGTAATGTTTTATGAGATTTCAAAAATAGAAACATAATTTTGTTAGTCATAGAAAGCAATCTTTGAATGGTTGTATTTACTGTACAGAAACATATCTAAATTAGAATAATTATAGTTTAACCCTTTCTAGATTAATTTTTTTTTATAAAATCCATCCCCTTAATAGTGAATAAAAGATAAATTAAAAGAGACATTTAAAACATGAAAAAATCACAAAAGGTTATTGTTAAAAATGGTATAATAATGTAATTTAAAAGTACATTCCTAAAAATGATATAATATGAAGTTATTATATTCGACAATAAGGTCAGAAATAGTAACCAAGTTGAGATAATCAAACAAACATAAATAGTAGCAACAACCGATTTGATCCATTTTTAAATTAAATTACCGATTTACCCTTCTGATGAACATTGTCCATACTAAATTAATGATTTACCTTCGGATAAAAAATGATAGTATCATGCAAAAAGAATCATTTTAGTACACGTGTCATCTTAATATCTATTGTTGAATTGCTTTTCCAGCCCAATGTTTTTCTAGTTTCGTAAGTCAAATTACCCTTTTGCCATTATATTTCTTTACTTAAAGGTTTCCTGCATTTAATTTGCAATTAAATTAAAACAAATCACATAAATTTAGGAGTTTATTGATACCTTCAAAAGGTAAATTCGAATCTTCATTATTTATTCTATCCCAAATAAAATTACCTTTCTGCCCCTAAACCTTAAAACCATACTTAGCATTTAAAAAAAATCCATCCAACAATATCAATAACCTTTAGTTATGATTTCAATTTAAAGTTAGAAATGTTGTAATTCAACAATCATATTAGGATATTAATTTACATTCAAACATTAAAAACATCTCTTTATTCCTATTATACCCTTATCCTCCATTTTCCATTCGGTATTACCATATATTTATCTAACAAATTATTTGAGTTCTATATCAAGATTGCAATCCCTGTAATTCAGCCAGCAATTTAAGATATTATATACAATCAAAAACAGTAACCAGGTAGAGGTAATCAAACAAACAAAAATAACAACAGCTCATGATTTGATCAATGTTTAAATTAAATTACTGATTTACCATTCTGATGAACATTGTACATACTAAATTAATGATTTACCCTTCAGATAAAAAATGGAAGTATCATGCTAAACGAATACACAAAAAAATTGATTACAATGAACAGGAAAAATGGTGGGGTGCATTTGTCATTCCATCAAAGTACTTTGCTATATTGTGTTTTAACCGGTTTACATCAAAGTACATTATTATTTTTTTCTAGACTAAAGGTATGTAATATATTTTCCTATTTATTTGAAAAGTTTCAGAAAAGTAGTTAACCGATATCATGTAATTTGTGACAAAAAAAATCGAAATATATGAATACATATATTTGATACAGGAACAAAAAAATAATCGAAAAAATATAAAAAAATCGAAAGAAGGTACTGACCTTCTAGTGCACAACAACGAAGGTTTGAAGCAGAGAATAATGGTGAAAGTTATAAGCAATAAGACTGATGTTGTAGGAGAAGGTTTGAAGAAAAGCAACGATTGAAAATAAGTGTGATCCGCGGATTCAGAGATGAATCATATATGTATGTGATAATTTGAATCTGATTTTTTGGTATTAATGGTTTCCTAATAAAAATGGATTTTATATTAATGGTTTACTAATATAAACGGGTTTATATTAATGGTTGATATTTAATGCCTTAATTGAAATGATTTTTAGTAATATGTTTTTAAAGTTGACTATTTTAAAACCTTGATAACCGAAAATTCAAGATTTAAAATTTGGGAATCTTTTATTAGAATTAAATACAATCCATTTCAACGGATTTAAGTTAATTTTGTGGAAAACTCTTATTGAAATTAAATACATTCAATTTTGGGAGTATGATGTCAGCAATCTAAGGGGCTGTTTGGATTGGTGTAATGCTAAGGAATGTAATTGAATTCTATTGTAATTGAACTCTGAAGGAATTGAATTCTGCTGGAATTGAATTCTGTTGTGCGTTTGGCTGCCAGATTTTGAGTTGTAATTGAAATCCATTCTCATGTTTTTTTCTGTTTGGATTGATGATTTGTTGAAGGAATTGGAATGAAATTCTGTCAAATGACAATAATACCCTTTATTTGTTTTTTTTAATTGCTATATAATTTACATAAAAAAAACTTCTAAATAAACCAACAATCAAATTTAATACTGATTATAAACATATATAACCTAACAATCAAATATAACTTCCATTCTAGAGCGTTTTTCATACATCTTCCAAAATGATAAACCAAAATAAATACATGTTAGATAAGTTTGGAACATAGATGATATCCATGATATCACAGTTTACAAAAAATGAGCAAAGTATCTCAAAATGATACACCGAAATACTATGTGGTACATATCATTATTCCAACATGAGCTTCACAAAAGTTTCACGTTCTTCACCTTCCAAGTTCCAAAAAGTCAACACTGCTTCCGGCTCGAGCATTATCTTTCGACTTGTTTTAAACTTATCCTTTTGATCCATTGATGGAATCTTCAAAATTTCAAAAGTCACCATAGAAGTTTTCTTTTGTAACTCCACTTCAGCATTTAAAGATTGAGACATGGTGGTCGATGCTTCCCGAAGATCTTTGCAAAGTAACGCGGCGGCTTTAGATATTCCCTCAATGAAAGGATCAAATTTACGTTTCCTTTTCTTAGTACTAGCACTTGAAGTTTCCTCACTTTGCCCATTTGTTGTAGGTGAAATTTCCTCACTTTTCTCATTGAAATCATCTTCCATTTGCAATAATTCTTCTTCCACATTTTCATTATGTGTCATATCCTCACAATCTTCGGCTCTATTCCCTTGAGCCCTATCTTTTCCAAAAATGATGCAAAAGTCATCATAATGAGGAAGCGATTTATTTCTTCATTTTTCAGCTCCTTTATGCACCTATCACATGCAACAACAAATTATTATTTTGAACAAGAATAATAATAGATCAAAGATATATATTAAACATACCTTTACATAAGAATCCCAAACCTCAGGTGATTCAACTGTTCCACATCGATTAACACTATCATAACCAAACCCACTTGTGTTATTACCGGTGATCATGTCATAAACAACCTGCCACTCTTTCTTCATAGTTCTGATTCGTGACTCAATATGAGGTTTCACCAGAATACCCGCATTCGGGAGTGAATCTTTCAATGCTTGTCCCAAATGTTGTAAATAACCAGATTTAAAACCATTATCGGCTTTAAACCCACCCGCATTTACCATATTTAACATCGCCTCCACAAGCTTAGCATCTTCATGTGTTGTCCACGTCCTATAATTTCGACTTTTTTCAGCCATACCTACAAATAAACTACAATTATAATATACAAAAAACCAAAAAAAACACCAACTTACTAAAACAAGTATCATGAGACTTTTGTCCCATACACAAAAAAAACCCATCATCACAGTCAACTAAATACAATACAAATAGCAGATTAATAAGGTTCAAATAAACTACAATATAATAGTAATAACGTACAAATAAACGACAAATAAAATACAAATAACAGAGTAATAAGGTGCAAATAAACTACAAATAACATCAGTTTGTGTATTCCAAGAATCAACCATTGTTTGTGCTAAATTTATCTCTAAACGTAGTCCATTCGTCTGAAATCCCGATGGTTGTGACATTATCATCATTTCCACCCCCATTGTCGCTGGTTCCCTCATCTGGTGAAGCATTGTCTTCAAAAGGATCAATTGTCATTTCTTGCCTTATATAATTATGAAGAAGACAACATGCCATTATGATTCTATTCTTTATTTCAACCGGATAATACGAGTTATCTCTTAAAACTCCCCATATTGCCTTTAAAATACCGAAACATCTTTTTATAACATATCGTGCAGAAGAATGCCTCATATTATAT